AGGACCACAGGTTAGCTACCCTTGCTCTGTCTATAGACATCACCCCTCTCCTTTGCCTGTTTAAGTGACGGTCTGCAGTAATTAAAAATGGGTCCATTTTCCACACACCTTCCTCCCAAAGAAATGCTTTGCAGATATTTAATTTATTTAAATGAACTGTACACTCCCCTACGGTGGAGTTTACAGTTTTATGGTGAGTGTTTTAGTCTCCTGAAATAGCTGTTTGCCAGTTCTTCATGCTTGCAGTGGCCTAACCACCATCAATGGATGCTAACTTTTCTTTGTAGCCCATCTCTCCTCTCCTCTCATTCCTTGAATGCTTTCCAAAAGTACTTTATAAGTATCTAAATGTGCACTCACCCAGATATGGCTAGCTGGTATCACTGAGAGCAATAGTAGGGAACTGAGGGTGCTGACAAGTGGTGTTTAATTTTAATTTTACTTTTCTCCAGAATACTGAAAAGGTTGTCATAAAAGTGATTTTGTCAAAGTGGAAAGTGTTTGTTCATTTCTAAAGAGAGCTGCTTTTTTCAGAAATGAATACAAATGACAACAGTTTTGCAAAGGAGTGCTGATTTAAAAGGTATATTATTTTACATTGATGTTTAAGTTAGGGGACTTAGTTTTTTAAAAAACCAACCATCCCAGTATTCATAGACTATGTAAAAGTACTGCAGGAAACTTTGCTATATAATAAACTTTAAACTTTATTATATATTTTCTTAAGCTCCAAGTCTACTCATTAATTTCTTAATAATAATAGTAGTAGTATCTATGCTGAAATACCCCTATGAATCAAGGTGTGCTGCTTATTCATTTTCTGGGTGGTAATTAATTCTCTAGGGAATGAATTCAAGGAACAAATTTATTAAACTGTGACAGAATAATTTCTGACCTCCAGCAACCTTAGTTGATTCTAGCAGATCAGAGTCCCTTACAGCCACCCAGATTTGGCTGGTTAGCATAACTGAGGGAAATTGTGAGGAACTGAGAGTGTGGGCAAGTGAAGGGAATTTAAACAACAACAACAACAACAATTATTTTTTGTGCACAGAAAAAGTTGCCATAAGAGTGATTTTGACAGAGCTGGAAGTGGTTGTGAAATGCCATGAGTAATTTCACCTCAACTCTAATCATGACATTCTACCTGTCAGAAGGAGGACCTTTGTCAAAAGCATGTTGATTTTAAATATACAGTATGTCTTTTTACACTGATGTTAAATTACACTTTTACACAGGACTTTTAAAAATCTAGTTTTCATAGGCCTTTTCATAGAGCATTGCTAGAAACTTGGCAGATAATTAATTTCAAAACTTTTTTAAACAGCTGATTAGTTCCCAAGCTCCAGTCTACTTATTAACTTCTTAAAAATTAAACCATCTAAGTTGAGATACCTCCAAGGATCAAAACTTGCCTCTCACTTTAGGTTAATTAATTCTCTAAGGAATGATTGATAGGAACAAACTTCTTAAACTTTTTTTAAAATAATGATGATGATGATGTTGACCTCTAGTAACCTTGGTTGATACCAGGAAATCAGAAAACAAGTGAATGAATACCAGATCTCCTTCTCATAGGCCAGCATGTAGACAGTGGTGAAGTGGTCAGTTCTAAAGCGCAGGAACCTATCAGGACAGCCCCCACCCCAACACGGGAGTCCACAAAAGTGGGCAGGTGTGGACTATATACATCAGTGGTAGCCAAAACGGTGCCCTCCACATGACGTTGGACTGTTGATACTGCTGTCCCTGACCAATAGCTATGCATGCTGAGGCTGATGGGATTTGTAGTCCAACAACTTCTGAGGGGCATCTTAATGGTAATCCAATGATCTGCATACAGGCACATAGACATGAGGCAAAGGACACAGAATATATTATCCAATGTATGAGGGTCAGAAAGACTGCAATTCAATGAGAGGCAGTGTGGTGTAGTGGTTAAGAGCGGTAGTCTCGTAATCTGGGGAACCGGGTTCGCATCTCCGCTCCTCCACATGCAGCTGCTGGGTGACCTTGGGCCAGTCACACTTCTTTGAAGTCTCTCAGCCCCATTCACCTCACAGAGTGTTTGTTGTGGGGGGGGGGGAGGGAAAGGAGATTGTTAACCGCTTTGAGACTCCTTAAAGGGAGTGAAAGGTGGGATATCAAATCCAAATCCAATGCACGGTTTCCTGGAAAGGAGCCAGGAGTGGTTCATTCAGTGGGGCAGATTGCAACAGTGAGATCACTGCCACATACCAGGAGGGAGGGCAGGTGATGATGGTGGGGCTGTGTGGCCCCACCATCAGGGTCAATACAGCTCTCCTGCCATTGCACACATGCAGCCTTGACCTGACTGCCACCTTGCTCTTCCTCTTCTGGTAGATGACAGAAAGGCTATGATCAGCTCCACCTTACCAGGTCAGATGTTTGAGGAGTTAGCTCCATAGGAATAAGCAGTGCTTACTTCTGACAGCTGTGGTTCAATGGTTCTGAAATGAAGGGAAAGAGAGGTAAGCAACTAGGCCTTGGCCCAGCCATGCCACAGAGGCCCATACTGTGTGCTTCCATTGGTTCCGGGCTCTGATATGACTCCTAGAAACATGCCAGTTGACCCAATAAAGCAGGAAGCTGATTATTGGACAATAAACTAGTGTGTTTTCCTCTTCCTTCAGCCTTGTAAGTATTTCATTTTTCTTTGACATTTTTTGGACTAGGATCTGGGACATGAGGGCTCAATTCCTTGCTCAGTCTCGAGGCTCACTGGATGAAATTGAGCCATTCAAAATGTATCAGCTTTACCTACCTCAGAGAATGGTTGTATGTATATGGCATCTTGGTTGGAGGACAAGTGGGATAGCCATTAAAGCAAAAATAAAATAAACCAAATGACATTCACAGGGATTCTGCCAATGCCTTCGGAATTGTGCCATCTGGGAAATTGGACACACCACTGCTGCCATCCCAAAAGTGTTGTTCAACTTTCCAACTGGCAGTTTTATGGTGAGTGTTTCAGTCTGCTGAAATAGCTGTTTGCCAGTTCTTCATGCTTGCAGTGGCCTGATCACCATCAATGGATGCTAACTTTTCCTTGTAGCCCATCTCTCCTCTCCTCTCATTCCTTGAATGCTTTCCAAAAGTACTTTATAAGTATCTAAATGTGCACTCACCCAGATATGGCTAGCTGGTATCACTGAGAGCAATAGTAGGGAACTGAGGGTGCTGACAAGCGGTATTTAATTTTAATTTTTCCCAGAATACTGAAAAGGTTGCCATAAAAGTGATTTTGACAGAGTAGAAAGTGTTTTTGAAATACAGTGAGCAGCTTCACTTCATTTCTAAAGAGCTGCTTTTTTCAGAAATGAATACAAAGAACAACAGATTTTGTGTTGATTTAAAAGGTATATTGTTTTACACCGATGTTTATGTTAGGGGATTCATTGTTTTTTTAAAAAAACACCACCACAATTTTCATAGGCTATCTAAAAGTACTGCAGGAAACTTTGCTATATAATAAACTTTAAACTTTATTATATATTTTCCTAAGCTCCAAGTCTACTCATTAACTAAATAATAATAATAATAATAATAATAATAATAATAATAATAGTATCTATGCTGAAGTACCTCTATGAATAAAGGTGTGCTTCTTATTCATTTTCCAGGAACTAATTAATTCTCTAGGGAATGAATTTAAGGAACAAATTTATTAAATTGTGACAGAATAATTTTGACCTCTAGTAACCTTAGTTGATTCTAGCAGATCAGAGTCCAAGAAAATGAATTCTAGATCTTCTCCTCATAGACTAACACATAGTCAGTGGTATGGTGGTCAGTTCTGACCATCCCTGACCACTGGTCCTGTTAGCTAGGGATGATGGGAGTTGGAGTCCCAAAACATCTGGAGGGCCGAGTTTGTCTATGCCTGGGCTAGATCATGGCCTGGCAATGCCACATAGGATCATAGTGTGAAGAAGTTACAAAGTTGGTTCCTTCCATTGGTTCTGGACCCTGATAAGACTCCTAGAAACATGTCAGTTACCCAAAAAAAGCAGGAGAGTACCCACCTTGCTGGACAGTATAGTGGTGTGATTTCCTTTTCCTTTTAGACTTATTTGTGTGTAATGCACTTTTTTTATCCCCAATATTATGATCTGGGAGACAAGGGCTCAAATGCTCACTCAACTTTGCAGCAGGTGACCAGTGGCGTAGCATGGGGGGGTGCAGGGGGGCCCGGCCGCACCGGGTGCAACATCTGGGGGTTAGGGTTAGGGTGCGCAAATTACTTGCCTTGCCCCGGGTGCTGACAACCCATGCTACGCCACTGCAGGTGACACAACTATGATTTAGAATGGAGTGCAGGAGCCGCTGAATTCTAGCATCGCACAGGGTGCCACTGAGATGTGAGACCCCAAGGTCTGCCACCGGTTGTTGTGAGGATAAAATGGGAAGAATGATATACAGTGGTACCTCTGGTTATGAACTTAATTCATTCTGGAGGTCCATTCTTAACCTGAAACCGTTCTTAACCTGAAGCACCACTTTAGCCAATGGGGCCTTCCGCTGCCGCCGCACAATTTCTATTCTCATCCTTGGACAAAGTTCTTAACCTGAGGTACTACTTCCGGGTAACCAGAAGTGTTTGTTACTTGACGTGTTTGTAACCCAAGGTAGCACTGTACACCACAATGAGCTCCTTGAAGGAATGATGGGGTATTCATTCAATGACAAATAAAACTAACAAAATGTCATTCACAGATTTTCTCTATAACTAAATAATATTTAGTTATAAATATTATTTTTCAACCTGATCTAAGCCACCGATCATATCTCATCGTAGCTCTCTCTCTGCTAATGGCTAATATCAAGAACTTCAATGCCATAAGGCTTTACAAAGATATATATAATTTTTGCATCATCCCATTCATTTTCTACATCATTCACTTTGCTTGTTTTATATTGACCCTGCAGTTGCCCCCTGCCACAGAGGGGAGAAGAGCCTCAAATTATTTCCATTCATTTCACCTCCTTAAACAGTCTTTTAAGGCCTCTTTGACCTTCTGATTCCTTAGAGTATAAATAAATGGATTTAGTAATGGTGTCACCACTGAGGTAAGGACAGCAAGTGCCGTCTGGACAGCCTGAGAACGTCCCTGATTGAGCAAAGAGTACATAAAGATTGAACTGCCATAAAAGATGGAGGCAACAGTGATGTGAGATGCACAGGTAGAAAATGTCTTCTGCCAACCTTTGGTGGAATGCATGCATAAGATGGTTGCAATGATGTAGACATAAGAGACAACAGTGACCGTTAAAGAGCCAAGGAGCACCACTGAGGACAGGGCAGTCTCCACAGCCAGGATAGCATACACGTCATTGTAGGAAAGTTTTATCATTGGGGCATAGTCACAGAAGAAATGGTCTATAATATTAGAGCCACAGTAGGAAAGGTAAGAGAGCAAAATGATTGGGGCAAGGATAGAAAGGAAGCCACCCATCCAGCAACCCAGGACCAAATAGGTGCAGACCCATCCATTCATGATGATGGCATAGCGAAGTGGTCTGCAGATGGCAACATAGCGATCAAAGGCCATCACGGCAATAAGGATTGTTTCACTGGTAGCAAAGGAGAAGTAGAAATAGCACTGGGCCACACAGCCCAAGAAAGAGATGGCTTTGTTCAGAGAAACCATGTTCACCAGCATCTTGGGGATGATAGATATGACAAAGAAGACCACCATGAGTGAGAGGTTACAGAGGAAAAAGTACATGGGGGTTTGGAGACGCTGGTCCAGACATACCAGTGTGATGATGGCAATATTCCCAGCTAACGTTAGCAGGAAACTAAGAAGAAGCACCACAAAATTGAAGAGCTCCAAGCACCTAGGAAGTTGGAAGCCAATCAAGATGAACTCTGTCACCTGCTCTGGTTTGCTATGATTTCTTGGCTCCAGATTGAGCTACAAAATGGTCAAGTGGGCACACACACAAATTTAAAATGGTAGAGTTTGTAGCATTCAAGGCAGGCCACTTCCCCCCTTTCCTGGGGTTAAAAGGATACAGTGGTGCCTCGCAAGACGAAATTAATCCGTTCAGCGAGTCTCTTCGTCTTGCGGTTTTTTCGTCTTGCGAAGCACGGCTATTAGCGGCTTAGCGGCTTAGCGGCTATTAACGGCTTAGCGGCTTAGTGGCTTTAAGAAAAAGGAAACAAACTCGCAAGAACGCAAGCCCATAGGGAAATTCGTCTTGCGGAACGACTCAAAAAACGGAAAACTCTTTCGTCTAGCGAGTTTTTCGTCTTGCGAGGCATTCGTCTTGCGGGGCACCACTGTACAAACACCTCTCATCTTCACCTTAAACATTCATATAAAGTCATCTTCTGCAAGCCAGTGATTTTTTTTTCCAATTATGAGAATACTTCACTTCTCATAAAACATTTTTTGTTGGTCCCACTCTTTTTGCACTGAAAGATTCTAGGCAAATTGTCCCAGTTCAGCTCTTTCTCCGAAGACTGCCTAAGAAATCAGTGGTGGACTGTTGTAGTCCTGTGCTGCCAGCCATGACAGAGCTCAATGGAGGGAGAAGTCAGCCAACCAGCCAAGTCTCAGAGGGGTATGTGCCTGGAGGCACAGTCCATATACAAGGTCCAATCAAGTCCTAAGGTCAGGAGTATCTCAGTTCATGTAGCCAGACGATCCAGGAGGTCAAGAAAGCCGAGGGTCCAAGGCTGCAAGAAGCAGCAAGGTCTGTTCAGGAATGACAAAAGTTGTGTCCAGCACGTGATTGAGGCTGGAAACCCTACTTAAGAAAGCTGGAGCCAGCTGGTTCTCTTTAGGAGCAAGAAGGCTGATCAGCAGCAGGTGGAGTCACTTCACCTTCTGCTCCTTCAGGCTGCTGCTCAGCAGGTGAAGCTGACTCCTGGCCCATGACACAGACATAGGAGCCCCACCCAATAAAATAATTGAGGGGGCACCCCCCCAAGTTGATGGACATTGCCATTCAAATGGTGTGTGTGCACCATGTCATGTGGTCAGTTATGTGGGGTGGGGCTGACCTACCACCCCCCTCAATATTTTCTTCAAGTTGGCACCCCTGGTGGTAGAGACATTGTTTAATTGCATTGAACCATCACACTATGTGTAACAGGAATATAAGAGGTATACATGAATGATTAAATTTAGAACCGCCTGATGTGTATGTGGGGGGATTGTTCTTCTTTTAATTTTAATTGAATATCCCCCTTTAAAGAATCCCTATTAGTCTTCATATCAAATGTCCATGTGTATTGAATACTCTACAACAAATTGAACATACAACATGCGGGGTTGTACCAATCTCCTTTGTTTATACTCACAGAACCCCATTTTACCTGGAAGGGCATTCAAACAGCAGACTGGACAAAGGGACAGATATTTTCAATTCCGCTTGTCATCCACATGTGGATCCCTGAAATATTTGTCAGGTGTAGATACTCCAGTGATTCAGAAAGCCTTCTGTAGGTTGATGAACACAATTCGTTACAGCCTCTGCCTTCTCTCCTGCAGTCAGTGTTAACATTTATTGGCCATATCAAGGTAATGAAATGCAATTGGTTCTTTCGGTTCTTGCCATGGCTTGGTATAGTGTCTTTCTCCTTTACACAGTATGAATTATCAGTAAGATGAAGCTTATATGAAGGCACTTGGGGATGATCATTACTGAGTGCCTAGAAGGTTCAGCTTCATACCTAATGCCAGGGGAACCCAAATCTCATACCAAGACCTTCTGATCTCACTGCCATTACCCAGATGACCAAAAATGCAATGCACATCCTCAGTGGCCACAGAATGCTGCCAACTGTTGTGAGTGTCGAAGGAAAACCAGTTTGCGTGGCGGCGGCAGTGGAATGGTGCATCCTGAGAAAGGACATGACATTTCCACACTTCATGGGACTATTTGCACCACCATCATCTGACCCACACCATCAGACTTTAGCTACAGACAGTAGGTGTCTCTCAAAAGCCAGTTTCTAATCATCAGTGGTGAGACTACAGTACATGTGAAGTAAAATGCGCACACACCCTTTAGTCTTACAGGAATTGTTTTGAAAAGAAACAGCAGCCACAGAAGAGGTGGGGAGCATCAAATTTTGGAGTGTAGGACACAGTGATATTTTAAACCCTTTCCTTCCTGGCTGTGGTCACAATGGAAATTACAGTGGATTCGGCTCTCTGTCTCCCAGTGGCAGAAGGCATATGCAAGACATTTCAGATTATTTTGGTGCAGGGCACTACGGTAACGCTCAAGCTGCCATGCTGTTATGTACTGAGTTGAATAGGATCCAAAATGCAGCAGTCTTATTGGTCCTAGAACAATGCAGCAGTATGATTGGTCTGCAGGAGCCACCCAATCCGGCTCCAGATGGAAGTGAATCCACAACCTGATTGGCCTACAGGAGAATTCCGGAATTAGCCAATCACGTGCAGCCCATTGTGTAACTAATGTATATAAAGCAGATACTTTGAGGGGACTTTCATTCCTCCTCACCACTATGAGCTGAATAAAGAGCATGAAATCCACTCTCGACTCTGAGTATATTTCACATGCAAAGAAAGCATGGTAATAATGAACCCAATAAATCCCAAAAGCCACATGTCATCACAAAGGAACTTGATCAATGGTTTATTGTTATGGAATAAATGGTTGAGATGATATATCTGTCAATATAGCCTATACCGAGCTGGTTGGACCAATGGCCTGTCTCAGTATAAGACAAGTTCCTATATTTTTATTTTGGATAAATTTAAAAGAGGTTCTTAGACTGGTGGTATCCCTCCCAGAAATCCCAAAAGAAAAGATGCAGGCTCCAAGTGAAAATATAGTCCTTTATTGAAATACAAATGTGCATAGGGACACCCTCAAAAATAAACAGGCTGCAAAGAACGACATCCAAATCAATGTTTCTTATACACTTCCAGATTACACATGTGATTTCTACCCACCACTCAAAGGATCAAGGCAATCTTAATAGCTGCATCCCAATGTCATCAACCTGAACGAATCAAGATCATTTGGGTCTTCAGATCAGCCTTCCTCATAATATCATATGTTTACATAAATCATTTTTCAAAGTCTTTCTTTATTAAGTCGTTGACTATTTTTATTTAGCAATTAAATTTGTATACCACCCTTCATCTGCAGGTCTCAGGGCAGATCACAACATAAGAATGCAATATGAAAGCACAAAATACATACTAAAAGCAAGAAGTAAAAAGCACAAACCAATAAAAACCCTCCCCCACCCTATTTTCCTATTCATTAAATTTCTCCCCATATCCTGTTCTATGGGACGCGGGTGGCGATGTGGGTTAAATCACAGAGCCTAGGACTTGCCGATCAGAAGGTCAGTGGTTCGAATCCCTGTGATGGGGTGAGCTCCCGTTGCTCAGTCCCTGCTCCTGCCAACCTAGCAGTTTGAAAGCAAGTCAAAGTGTAAGTAGATAAATAGGTTCCACTCCGGCAGGAAGGTAAACGGCGTTCCGTGCGCTGCTCTGGTTTGCCAGAAGCGGCTTAGTCATGCTGGCTACATGACCCAGAAGCTGTACGCCGGCTCCCTTGGCCAATAAAGTGAGATGAGCACCGCAACCCCAGAGTCGGTCACAACTGGACCTAATGGTCAGGGGTCCCTTTACCTTTATCCTGTTCTATCTACAAAACAACCCAAGATTAATGACAATTGCCATGGCTTTATTAATGCAGACAATGGCCGTCATGGATCCCAACAGTTACCGTATTTTTTTGTGTATAAGACGCCCCCATGTATAAGATGCTCCCTATTTGGGGGTACTCCAAATTAAGAAAGCAATACGTGTGTATAAGACGAGCTCCAATTTTAAACCTAATTTTTTGGTAAAAAAACAACAACCAACCTAGTCTTATACACAGAAAAATATGGTAATCATTTCCAGTGTTTCAGGACGAACTTATGCTACAAACAGTGCCTAAAAGCAACTAATTCTGTACTGTAAAAGGTCTGGAAGGGCCTCCTCCTTTCACCATTTTATTTAGGGATTGATAAATGGTGATGCCATTTTGACTTCCCTCTGAAAAGATAGGAGAACAGTCTCAAATGATTTCCACTCATTGTGAGAATGCCCACTTCCTCAGACAGTCTTTGAAGGCCTCCTTGACCTTCTCATTCCTTAGACTATAAATAAACGGGTTTAGTAATGGTGTTACAATGGCAGTAAAAACTGCAACTACCTTCTGTACCTGCCGAGAAAATCCTTGGCTAGGTAAAGAGTACATGAAAATTGCACTGCCAAAAAAGATGGAGGCAACAGTGATATGAGCAGCACAGGTGGAAAATGTCTTTTGTCGACCTTTGGCAGAGTGCATGCGCAAGATGGTGACAATGACGTAGATGTAAGAGATGACAGTGACAAACAAAGAGCTCAGGAGCACCACTGAGGACAAGACATTCTCCAGAGCCAATTGGAAATGTACATCATTGCAAGAAAGCTTTATCATTGGGGCATAGTCACAGAAGAAATGGTCTATAGTGTTAGAGCCACAGAAGGATAGGTTGAAGAGCAAAATGATGGGGCCAAGTGTAGAGAGGAAACCACCAATCCAGCAACCCAAGACCAAATTGATGCAGACCCATCCATTCATGATGATGGTATAGCGAAGAGGTTTGCAGATGGCAGCATAGCGATCAAAGGCCATCACGGCAATAAGGATGGTTTCCGTGGTTCCAAGA